GAGATCACAGCCAGGGTCCCAGTCCAGGATGAGTCCCTGCTCTCTGGAGATCACAGCCAGGGTCCCAGTCCAGGATGGGTCTCTACAGCCTAGAGATCACAGCCAGGGTCCCAGTCCAGAATGAGTCCCTGCTCTCTGGAGATCACAGCCAGGGTCCCAGTCCAGGATGGGTCCCTACAGCCTAGAGATCACAGCCAGGGTCCCAGTCCAGAATGAGTCCCTGCTCTCTGGAGATCACAGCCAGGGTCCCAGTCCAGGATGAGCCCCTATAGTCTGGAGATCACAGCCAGAGTCAAAGCCCTGGATGAGCCCCAACAGCTTAGAGATCACAGCTAGAGTCCCAGACCAGCATTAGTCTTTAAAGCCAGGAAATCACAGCCAGGGTCCAAGTCCTGGATGAGCCCCAACAGTTTAGATGTCACAGCCAGGGTTCCAGCCAAGGATGAAACTGTACAGCCTAGAGTTCACAGCCAGGTTGCCAGTTCGAGTTACAGCTTGGTTATACACCAACACACGCTGAGGCTAGCTTAGAGCTGGACAGGAGACCTGCAGTCTCTAGATTTACGATAATCTGAGCAGCATCCAGTCTGAGTTTTCCTGTTGTTATCTAAGATTGTTTAAGGTTTAAGGTTCACTGCTCATTGTTTACCTCCCTAAGGAGGATTGTAGTTGAAGGCCTTGCGGTTTTTATTTTTTGTAATGAGCCGACCTCCAGAGAGACTGAGCCTGCAGCAGCTGGTCAGTGTCTCCCAGTCCCCCATTTCTTTCAGCCACTTTCGTCAACGGCTGCATATCTTTTGAAACAAAAAAATATTTAAGAACAGCTTTTGTCGTACCAATGGTCAAACTTTCCGACTCTGTCACCTTGGAGCGTTGTTGTCTTAAACATGTATTATTCCTGAAATGCAATGTTCGAGTACTTTAAGAACATAAACCTGCAAACAAGTCTCATCCAGCCATTTCTTTAAAGAAAATGGGTTATCAGCTTCAACAGCATGGCTAGGTAGCTTGTTCCATACTCACCAATTGCACTTCTGCTTAGCTTAGTCTATGCCTTTGAGGATTTAACTGTATCATTGAGCTACATGAATGGGTTAAATGTATGTGCTACGGTTTATAATGTATTGTTTGCGAACAGGCCTAGTATTAAATTAGACAACCAGAGCATCAGATTGATTTCTTTTTACACTCTTTCACTTGGGAGATGAACTGTGTCTTTGGTTCTGCTGTTGACTGGAGCCAGTGGAGTCCCCAGGTGGCCAGATGTCATACCTGCGGGGTTGGGTAGTTCTTACATAAGACCCTCACTATGCCAATGAACTCGAACTGTGGCCTAGCCCACTGTTCTCTAGGTCTCAGGCCTTAACTTCATGTTAATCCAGGCTGATTAAGACGGGAACATTGGTTCAATTAAAAAATTGAAAGATGGGCTGGACTGAAATCTGAAAGACTTTGAAGTGTAGTGCTGTTATCTCCAAACTTGAGAAACTGTTTACGGTTTCTGTAATCCGCGAAGTCTTTAAGACCTCTCTGATGGGCCAGTTCAAACGTGACTTGGAAACAATGTGGGGAAGAGCAAGGATTATTACTCACAAGACCTCATTTAGTTATTACGCTACTATCAGCTTGTCAGATTTGTGTGTCAGTGTGTGTATTTAATCCTAGGAAAGTGTAACGTTATGGGAGATTTTGCCAAGATCAGAATTACAGAAAATACAGCTGTTGCTTAAATTTCTGACTGTTAATGTGTATGTTATATCTTCCTCTTTCCCAGACCTGTCAAAGAATCGTCTGTCAGAGGTGCCAGAGGAGTTGTGCCAATTCATCTCCCTGGAGACACTGAGCCTGTATCATAACTGTATTCGCAGCATCCCACCCTCCATCGGCAACCTGCAGGCCCTCACTTACCTCAACATCAGGTACAGCTGTACAACATACAGTACTTGTAAAGATACAGCTGTGTTTGACACACTCTCTCCCCTTGACATCAGGTACAGCTGTGCTACACACTGTCTCCCCTCGACATCAGGTACAACAAACTCACAGTGGTCTTATTTCCTCCTTCCCCTGTGTCTCTTGCACCCCCTCTCTCTCTGTCTGTCCTCGCGCTTACTCTCCCTGTTGTTTTCTCTCTCTCCTGTACAGTCGGAACCAGCTGTCCTCTCTTCCCACTGCGGTGTGCGAACTCCCCCTGCGAGTCCTCATCGCCAGCAACAACAAGCTGCCCTGTCTGCCGTCCACCATCCAGGCTCTGGGCAACCTCCGCCAGCTGGTCAGTCTCCCTCGGCATCACTGTCGCCATGCCACTCTCTTCCGTGCTTGAAGAACATAAATCATGCAAACCAGAGGAGGCCTTTCAGCCCGTCATCTTTGTTTTGTTGTCGCTAATTGCTTGAAGGATCTCATCCAGCCATTTCTTGATAATAACCTCCTCAAAGGTATCGACAAAGTCAACCCAGTGGTCAAGGCCTACAGTGAAACATGAACTAGAGGACACAAGGGGAACCGATACTGGAGTGCATTTAAAACTGAGAACAGGGGACAATATTTTACACAAAGGGTTGTAGGGGTATGGAACAAGTTACTATTGCTATTGCATCTGATACTCTGACTTTCTATGAGCTAGATTTGCTGAATGACCTCCACTCCTTTGGAGTCTTTCTTATGTTCTTATTACGTTGTAGGAAACTCTTGTTCCAGACTCCCACTTTTTGTATAGAGAAGTCTCTCGCGCGCACGCTCTCTCTCTCTTTCTTTCTCCAGGTTTCTCTTTCTGTCTCTCACTCCTCGAATCTCCTTCCGTGTTTTTCTCTCAGGATGTGAGCTGTAATGAACTGCAGTCTCTGCCCCCCGAGATTGGGCTCCTGGAGTCCTTGAGAGACCTCAACCTACGGAGAAACCATCTGACCACGCTGCCCGAAGGTGAGGGAAGAGGGCGAGACAGGAAGGGATGCGAAGAAGCAGGGAAGGACTGGAGAGGGGAAAGAGGAGGGGAGAGGGTGGGATAGGGGCGAGTTCGATTAGGGGGGGTGGGACAGAAAGAGAAGAGAGGCTGAACGAAGAAATGGGGGAGGAGGATAAGGGTGAAGAGAGGGTGTGGGGCTGAGCAAGAGAATAAGGAGCCATATGAGGGAAAGAGAAGAGGGACGAAGGAGTTTTGCAGTTCCCAGCTGAGCAGTTAGAGCACACCTGTGTATTCACCTCAACTTCTGCCCCGTCCTCTCTCGGCCAGAACTGTCGGAGCTGCCACTGGTCCGGCTGGATGTCTCGTGTAACCGCGTGACGCGGGTTCCCGTGTGTTACCGCCACCTGCGGCACCTGCAGACCATCACCCTCGACAACAACCCCCTGCAGTCCCCGCCCGCGCAGGTCAGGCCCTGCGGCCGCGCTCTCCCTTCGTCCAGTCAGTGCGTCGGCGTTAGCCTCTCTGTGTCTGCTGTGCTCTGTTCAGCTCGTGCCTTACTGCAGCGTACTGCAGGTGTACTACAGTGTCTGCGTGAAGGTCTCTCTTCAGGGCTACGCTGTGAATGTCGTGCTGTCCAGTGTATCTGTCCTCCTCTCTCTCCTTCTGTATACACACACTCACAGTGAACAATAGGATATAATAATAATTCAGTTACATAGTGCTTTTCTGGACTCTCCACTCAAAATGCTTTACAGGTAATGGGGACTCCCCTACACCACCACCAATATGTAGCACCACCTAAATGATGCAATGGCAGCCACTGTGCACCAGTATGCTCCCCACACTTCAGCATTCAGTGGGGAGGAGAACAGAGTGGTGAAGTCAGTTAGAGATGGGGCTTATTAGGAAGGCAGGACTGGTAAAGGGGGAAACACCTGCTCTCATCCAGAGATGCCTGTTTATAGTACTGCTTAGCCACTTTGTGCTTTGAGTGTGTGATTCACGCTCTGTATCTCTTCCAGATCTGTACGAAGGGTAAGATCCACATCTTCAAGTACCTGAATATCGAGGCGTGTAGCAAGACGACGCCAGAGGAGTTCGACAGAGCTCTGAGACCAGCAGGCATCAACAGCTGGTGAGACGGAGAGAGACCAAAGGAGGAGACGTCCGCAGTCTTGAAACGGGCTGCCGCAGCTGGCGCTAGATAGAGGGGCGGGGAGGGAGAGGGGGGAGACTCCATGGTGCTGAAAGAAAAGGTCTCAGCAGCTGGAGGCGAACGACAGGGGAGGGGGCAGGCTGTGTGACGAGGATAAATCACTCGCTTTCCTAGCCTGAGCTGGTCAGATCTCAGCAGACCGGCAAAGCTGGTCCGGTCAGTACTGGGATGGGAGATCACCCGGGAAAACCAGGTGGCTGCTGTGAGGGGTGCTGGTGGACCAGTAGGTGGCACTCTTACCTCTTATTGGACCGACATTTTCTGACCAACACTCCTATATGTTGACAAGGCACGCTGCGCTGAAGGAGGTGCTGTCCTTAAGATGAGCTACAGTATTAAGCCACTGTATTGACTAATAGGTCTTTAAGGGTCTCTCGGTTGTTCACAAGAGTAGGGATGTTAACTTTAGTATCCTGGCTGAAGTCCACTCTGGACAAGCTTTGTCTGACCTCCCGGTTCCTCACTCTTCCCCACAGGGGAGCTGTGCAGCCAGAGTGCTTTGATCCTTTCAGATGAAGAACTTCTATGTAAAATGCAACAAATTCTGAAATGATGAGGATACAGGAAAAATGGATCGATTGAATGCTTCTTATTAAATTGCGTAAAAAATAATTTTGTTCCCAAAGTTTTGGGCATGTGACTCTCTCTACAGAGGCAGTTGCAGCGGTGAAAATGTTTTGTATTCCTGGCTCTCTGTGTTTGTCTCTTATTGCATCTCTCTAAACCCCCGTTTCCCTGTGAGTTTCTCACTCTTTCTCTCTCTCTCCCCCCCCCCCCTTTGTCTGCGTGGCCAGTCTCTCAGATCAAGAGCTGTTTCCGGCACGGCAGTATGGAGGTCTGGACTCCGGCTTCAACAGTGTGGACAGTGGAAGCAAGAGGTGGTCTGGAAACGAGGTGAGAGAGAGAGAGAACTGACTGACTGACATATGTGGGACACATCCGCAGAAATGGCGTCACATGGGACAGTTGCATGGCGACTCTTAACAGACAAGAAGTTGCTCATCAAAGAAACGTTAATAGTCATGGTGATACACTGCAAGGCTGTGTTACTCGCCAGCAGACAGAGACACACCAACAGAGACAGTACTGACACTGATGAGCCTAGAGTAATGCATCTGTCTGCCTCTCTCCCCCTCTGTCCTCCAGTCTGCAGACGATTTCTCAGACCTGTCCCTGCGGATGGCAGAGATCTCCAGGGAACAGAGGAACCTGAGAGAGGAGCGACCAGTGCACTCCCTTGGGGACAGAGGTGAGCAGCAGACAACACTTGTCACTTGCTTACACATGCTTACAAATGCTTACACACGTACTGTATACACAGAAGCAGTATATGTACACATGCTCATATATAGTGAACACGCACACTCACATAGCCTATGTACACATGCTCACACTGACGATGTATAAACATGCTCTCACACACTTATGTAGTGTTATATACACATGCTCACACATTCTCTATGAGGCAGGGGTGAATGTGCAGAGATAGAAATATAGACTCTCACACTATGGCAACAGAACATTTGAACATTTCAGATAAACACTCTGTGATTCTCACTCCTGGTCCTGGAGAGAGGCTAGTGAACGTCCTGATGCCAGCAGTCGTATCACCCTGCAGCTCACAACTGGCAGCCAACTGAAGCTCAGCAAGTGTGAGCCTGGTCAGTACCTGGATAAGAGACCTCCAGGGAAAGCGAAGGTTGCAGCTGGAAGTGGTGTTAGTGAGACCAGCTGGGGGCGCTCTCCCTGCGGTCTATGTGGGTCCTAATGGGTCCCCAGTGTCATAGGGACACTATATTGTAAAAAGGCGCCAACCCTCCGGATGAGATGTAAAACTGACATCCTGATTCTCTGTGGTCATTAAAAATCCCAGGGTGTTTTCTCGAAAGCAGTAGGGGTGTTACCCCGGTGTCCTGGCCAAATTTCCCCCTGGCCTTTACCAGACATGGTCTCCTAATAATCCCCAGAAGTGAGGAGCCCTAACTTAAAAAAATCATACAGCACATAGACTTCCAACAGCATCGTTATTTGCATTGTGGGTGACTGTTTCATGGGCCTTTTCTGTTCCTCTCTCTACCTCTTTCCTTCCTGCACCTCCCGCCTCTTCGTGTCCCTCCACCCCCTGTCTCTCCGTAGTGAATGGAGAGGCAGAGCAGGAGGATTTTATTGACAGCAGCGTAACTGAAGAGGACGAGGAGGAGCACAGGTCATTGCCCAGCCCCCATCGGACAGCACCCCCACAGGTGAGGAGGACTCACTGCGTCTCCCTGGGTCCAGCCCTGTTACTACTGTCTGGCCTGTACTCAGTCTCTATGGACAATCATAAGAAAGTTACATTATGTAGGTGTCAGAACAGGATAGATCTGTACAAAGAGAGATTGACCCATAGGCATAGATGCTTGAATTATTCTATTGATGTGCAGATAAATGGATCACTAGATAAATGATAGACTAATATACTATAGATGGGTGGGCAAATGGGTGTCGGGATGATTCATGCCTTATTTTCCATTGTGTCCTAGGAGAAGAGTGGGAAGACTGGTTTGGCACAGTCGGAGAGCCCAGACAGAGGTCTCAGTGTGAGGTGAGCGACAGCGCCACACAGTGGTGTGAACCGTTACTGACGGTCAAGCAAACCAGGAAACTTTCCGGAAGTGCATTTAAAACCAAGAACGGGAGACACTCTTTTACACAAAGGGCAGTGGGAGTCTGATACAAGCTACCCAGCCATGTTGTTGAAGCCGATACCCAAGTTTCTTGCAATAAACAGCTGGACAAGATCCTGGGATCAATTAGCTCCTATCTGACAAGATCCTGGGATCAATTAACTACTATCTACCTAATGAGCCCCTCCCACCTGGAACCGTTCTTATGTTCTGACACCTGGTTTTGGACAGTGGCCCTGGAGAACTGTCTCATGAGTAATAGAGCCTAAGAGACAGGCAGCACTCATTTCTGGACTCTCCCGCTCATCTGCAGAGCAGTGCAGTAAGGGAGTAATCTTTATGTTGCCCTGTTCACTTGGCCGGTGATGCTGTTCCAGGGCGGGGCGGTGTGGCGCAGCCTCTCTTGAAAGGGAGCAGCCGCGCCAGCGCTTGTGTCAGAGAAGCTGGGGTGCGTGACCCGTGAGGCTCTGTGTGTGCACAGAGGAATCACTGTGTCAGAGCAGGACAAACACGTTTTGTGAGGCCTCCCTCAGTCAGAGCGCTTGTGTAATGACTGTGTGTGTGTGTACACGCTGAGGAGCTCTGTGCTTTGGGAAAAGTCAACAGACAGGGATTTTCGCAGTTTCACTTCCATCTTTTTTTAACCATTTATCTTCCTCCCCTCGTGGTGTGCTGAATTGTGCTTTGTCAAAAATGCTTCTTGCCGAGTCCTTAAAGGTTCAGTGTAGTGTATCCTGGCTTAGGCCTACTCAGATCTCGTTATGATGCTTGAACTATTTAAAGCCTTTGACACCACAAGGCTCACTTCAGCAGTAGTGTTCCATTGTGTTCACGGTGTCCAACACTCCTCTCTCTCCCCTCCCCGTCTTTCTCAGGTCGTCTCCGGGGGGGGACTCGGCAGAGCCCCTGGGCGCAACCCCGTCGAGCCCCTCTGCGGAGGAGCGCCGGCGCCCCGAGACCCTGCAGATCTGGCAGGAGAGAGAGAGGGCGCATCAGCAGAGGGAGAGGAGAGAGATCAGGTGGGCCTGGGAGGAAAAGAGTGGTCCTTAGGTCCTTCCACCGCGTTAATGACATGATTAGTCTCGAATGTACTAAGGGGATGATCATTACTTCAGCCGCGCGTTATCTGTCGCCAGGAGGGCAGCACGGTGGTGCAGTGGGGATCATTTCTGCCTTGCAGCGCTGGGGCCCTGGGTTCAGTTCTGGATCTGGGGTGCTGTGTGTGTGGAGTTTGTATGTCGTCCCCATGTTCGCATGGGTTTCCTCTTGTAGTACAAGGACAGCTGTAGTAGTACATAGTACAAGTACTGGTAGCTTAATTGGCTTCTGGGAAGACTGGCCCTGGTGTGAGTGTGTTTTTGTCTGTCTGCCCTGTGATGGACTGCAGTTCTGTCCATCAGGGTGTACCCTGACTTGTGCCCGTTATTGGAAGAAGTGGTTAGAAAATGGAGGGATGGAAGAGCCAAGATTGGCTAGATGGGAGGGAAAAGAAGAGAAGCTGTGTGTGGGATGGAGAGCTTCGATATGTCTGTTCCCGTGCTTTGCCCTCATCCTCTCCAGTAGTCGGCCATGTTCTCACAAGTTCCATCTCGGAGAAACTGGCCAAGGAAAAAACAGGTGTTCCTGCTGTGACAGCTCATGTTAAAATAAGCTGATTAAATGAATGGCTTAGAGGATCGACCCGGTCCCGGTTTTTAAAACTAGTCCGTGCCAAAGCTTGTCCCCGGCCCGCACTCTGGCCTGAACCTGGGTCGGATGTCAGAGTTGGTAAGAACTTTCCAAGCAAATAGGGTGGAGAAAAACCAACCAGAACTCTAATCCATACCCCACCTCTTATCCCCAACCTCACCTTCACACGAGACCTGACCAGTCCCCTTCCCCCCCCCCCATATCCCGCGCCTCGTTATTTCACTTGTAACGTTGCTCACTCTGTTCTGTGTTGTAGCCTGCTGAAATCGACAGCGAAAACAGGAAGTGGCTCCACGTCTGCAGCCCAGACAGGAAGCGGCCCTAGGTAACAGCCTGCTGAGTGTGAAGCCACGTGAGGCTGTGTGCGTGTGATGCAGCTGTGATCGGGTCTCCCCGAGACAGTTACTCGGAGCTTGATCAAGTCCACAAGTTATTTTAATTTGAATTATTTTGCAGACAAGCTCAGATGAAGAGCTTTCTCTTCAAAAGGTGGAGTCATATCCGGTTTTTGAGTTCTGTATTGACTCTCTATTGTCAGGTTCTCTGAAGAGCTCTGCCCTGAAATCAGAATGTTTTGTGCATGGGCTTTATAATCATGTGTTTGTGGTTATATTCTTGTGTTCCTTTACCAGATTGCTGTGTGTTAATATGCAAAATCTGTATCTCTGTACTGACATATTGAGTTCTGGCATATTGTTTTTTCGTTAAAGTTTAATAATAACCTTAAAAGTAAGGGAGGGGTTGAGGTTTACCAGTATGCAGGTGCACTACAGAGAATCCTGCAGAGCATGCTGGGTGGTGCTCATTGACAGTGCAGTGTTTGTCTCCCCCTAGTGGCAGCAGCTTCGACAGTGGCTCCTCGATCATCTGTCTTAGACAAAGGTGTCAGGTCAGTCTCTCTCCTTTCGTGTGACCCACTAGCCCCTCTCTGTCCCCCTAACTCCCTCCTCCTTCTCTTCTCTTCTCTCTGCATCTCCCTACCTCTTGTCTGCTCTGCTGTTTTGTGCTGAACAGTGTTTCCAACAGTCCTCAGAAGAGCATCCAGATACATTCCAGGAGTTAAGGGGAGTGTCTTGTGCTGACGGGTTGAAGGAACTTTAGTCTTGAAGAGAGACCTGACACATGTAGTCAGATTCAAAATCCTCAAAGGCACTTATAATGTCAACCCAGCGGGCTTCTTCAGAAAGTACGGTGAAACACGAGCAAGAGGGCACAAGAGGAAACTGCAAGGAAGAGCTTTTAAATCCGAGAACAGGATTCACTCCTTTACACTAAGGGTGGTGGGAGTCTGGAACAAGTTACCAGCCTGGTTGCTGAAGCCGATCCCCTGGTTTGTTTCAAGAAACGGTTGGATGAGTTCCTGGGTTCAATTAACTACTCAACTTCTCACCTGGCTAGTTGGGCCAAATGACCTCTCGTTTGTAACTGTTTTTGTATTCTTGTGTATCTGCTTACTCTCCACCCTCCCTCTGCTCTCTGCCAGTCCACCGCAGTGTCTGGTGTGCCCAACAAGACAGTGGATGACTCCCCACCTCTTCCTCTCTCTCTCTTCTCTACAGAGTACAGACCAGCCCTCCAGCTCTTCTGCCATCTCAGCTCCAGCCCGGTCCACCAGCAGAACAGGTGTTTATCAGTACTGCATCTGTACAGCGCTTTTAATCACTTAGAAAAAAGACTATAATCAGCAGCTTTTTTTCACTGCCTGTTTTTCAGCGTTTTTTACAGACTTCAAGGCTAGGTATTAGCGGAAACTCATCAGTTGTGCTCTTTGTGTAGCGCCTTCTTAGCCAAACCTAACCGTTCTGTGCAGAGCTTTTTGTCGATCCTGCAATTAAACTGATGAAAGTGAAACAAGAAAGTGCGTAAAAATGCACGCAGATACAGTGATTATGAAAAGTGTTTTTGTTCTTGTTTGTCTTTCCTAAGAAAGACAACAAGTGAATTCCAATAGGATTTCTTCTTCGGAGTCCTAACCCTCTCCCGTCTCGTCACAGACACGCCCCCTATGCCGAATCCCGCGGGCTCGCCAGGAGCAGTCCAAAAACCAAACAGCTTCCTGTTCCGGGCTCAGTCCCGGACCAACGTCAAGCCCACAGGTCTGAGTCTGGCTGGCCGTGTGTGACGTCGGCTCCGTCTGGGCCCTGTCCCCAGTCGCTCTGTCCCCTGTGGTGCTTTTAAGGGCTGCGTGTCTGACTCCTCTGGTTTCTCCAGGATCGGTCCAGTGTCTGGTGGAGACGGGCCGCTCCGAATCCAAGGCCTCGCTGCTGCGCTCCCCAAGAGAGGAGAGAGAGGGCATCACACAGCTGCGGAAGGTAGGTCCCGCCGAGCACTCTCCGGGTTTCGAGCTAGAGGAGGCCCTTCACCCCATCTGGTCTGTTCGGTCGCAAGCAGCTAATCGCCCCAAGGCTCTCATCCAGCTATTTCTTAAAAGAAACCAGGGTGTCGGCTGGGTAACTTGATCCAGAACACCTACACGCTTTGGTGTAAAGAAGTGCCTCCTGTTCTCGGTTTCAGATGCACTTCCACCTCGTTTCCACTTGTGCCCCCTGGTTTGTATTTCACCTTTGAAACTGAAGAGGTCCGCTGGGTTGACGTTGTCCGTTCCCTTGCGGATTTTATTTTCCATACTCGGATTTAGGATGCGGGGTACAGGTCTCCTCGTAGACTTCTCTGATTGAGACAATTCTCGTCTCTCTGGTGTTTATCTCCTCTCCGACTGTCCCGCTGTTAAACTGTAGACCTCACGACTGAGTCAGAACTAAGCCTGCTGGTCAAAATATTGACTAGACACTTGACTAGACTCTTGGACAAAGGAGAGACTGGGTTTGAGGAGCAGGAGCTAGATTTCCTGGATTTCAGTCCTACTGAATACTGGGATAACAGGCGGAAATCTGAAACTATTCCTGCCAGAGGATAGGGATAAGACTTTCTACCCCTCGCGGAATACACATCCACATCCTGCTCCTGCTGCTCGTGCAGCTCGCAGACACCCGTCAGGTTATTTGTATTGTTGCATTGTTTAGCGCCTTGGGGCAACCTTGTTATGAAAGGCGCTATATACAAATAAATTAAATTGAATTGAATTATTTGTGGGGGGGGTGCTTAATATTTTGGCTGGTGACTGTCTTGAGGTGTCTTGATGAGCTGTCTCCCTCTCCCAGACGCTGGAGTCCAGACTGAAGATCACTCTGCCCGAAGACCTGGGCGAAGCCCTGTCCGACGGCGCCATCCTGTGCCAGCTGGCCAATCACGTGCGGCCGCGGTCCGTGTCCATCATCCACATTCCCTCCCCTGCCGTGGTGAGCGCCGGGACTCTGCTCTCACCCTGTCGGTGCACTTGTCTGAATGAGATAACACTTCAGGTGCCCTCTCTGTTAGAGGAATTCATTAAGTTGTGTTGAGATGGTAAAATGGTGTTCTTCGCGTGTCATTCACAGCCAAAGCTCAGTGCTCCCAAGTGCCGTCGGAACGTCGAGAACTTCATCACCGCCTGTCGGAAGCTGGGCATTCCTGAGGTAAGCACCTGGGCTCCTCTCCTTAACTCCGGCTCGTTTCCAGCCGGGATCACGGTCCTTCGGAGCACGGGAGCCCGAGCTCACGTCCTGGTTACAGTTGTCTGATTAGGACCTTAATTGGAATGGGATTCAATTAGATCCTTAATTTGGAGCAAGATTTTGTCGCTTCTCTTATGTCACTTTTAGGGCACCACCTCCACTCTTCGTATTTCACTGCCTGTCTGGAATTGTTTTTAAAGCAATGGTAATCGCCAGTTATTGCTATCTACTCACCCAAGTCAGAACGGCCACTCGCTTGAAGACTTAGGTGAGCACCAGCAGCATGGGCTCTGCTGTGAGCTCCACAGCGCCCCCTGGAGCCGCGGCTGGTCTTGGTGACATCAACCTGCAAGCTCCCTGGCAACTTCGCAGGATACGTTTTTTCCCTGAGACCCCACCTGACTAATCCCAGTCCCACCCTGCCGCTCAGGGAATCCCGGGCTGGGGGGGAGGCCGGAGATGTCTGGGCCCTTGTGCTTGCCCATCCGAAATACTTAACTCGCTGGAGGGAGAACTGTGCATGCGGAACGCGCTCACTGCGCAGCGTTAATGTCTCCAGCTCCTCGTGAGGTCCCAGAACGACCCGCCAATACTCCTCCCTGTTGCGCCCGTTTGGTCATTGCTGCTGCGTGTGTGTGTGTTTGATCAAGATGCTTCCTCTGTCCCCGCACGGAGCACGCTCCATTGCCACACAACTGCACCCTCGGCACAAAGCAGTGAACGCACGTTGCCGAGAGACAACAAAGAGGCGTTAAATGCGAGAGACCAAACGCCTGCATCATCCGCGTGCGCACGTGCCTCCCGTGACGTCCGTAGCACTGGCCTCGCCTGTGGTCCTGAACGTGCTTCTGTGCAGCGCAGAGACGAACGCCTTTCTTTCCTCCTGTGAGCAGTAATGAGGTCTTCGAGCTGATTACGAGCCACCGAATGAGCTGCCTGTTAACAGCTGTGGTTTATTGTGCCTGCTGTGGGTTTGAAGTGAAGCACAGATGTCACAGATCTCTTTAAGATCAAGCCGGGTTATTGCGACACCGTTTAGCACCAATAAAAACCTCATTCATATCAAAACGGCCTCTGTGCCTCCCTGATTGCACAGTGCTAACTGGAGAATTTGCAGAGGGTTTGCAACTGATCTTAGCCTTTTTATTTTGGCTGTCTTTAACAGCATTCAAATTAAATAAGATTAAATCTTACAGTTGTTAGAATCCCCGAGGAGAAATAGGAAGCAAAATCATATTCCTGCTTGGACAAGAATGAATGGCATTTGATCCATGTAGTTACAGTCCTAAAGGATATAGACAGGGTGAACCCAGGGTTCACTGTTTCACTATTTCCAGTTCGTTAGCTCACAACAAACTAATGCAAAAGGACAGAGCAAGGTCACAGGGTCACAACTGGAAACATCGTTTAGGACAGAGAAGAGGAAAGGTTTCTTCCCACGAAGAGCTGGACCAGGGTATTCAAATGTTAATTCTGTTAGTGAAATGACTATCAGATCGGAGTGCATTCTTAACCAGCTGTTGCTCTGAATGGTGCCAATAACCAGCATGATCACAGAGTGCTGCTAAAGAACTGTTAAAGAAGTAATATTTACAAATGATTACACATGAGAGGAGGCCACATGGGCTGTACAGCTCATTGTGCTGCTTGTGCCTCATTTAATTCAATCCAGCTGTTTCTGGCTAGCTGTAAATCATCATGAACAGCGTGGCTGGGCAGTCTGTTTCAGATACCCACCACCCTTAGTGTAAAAACATGCCTCCCGCTTTCCACCTTAAATTAATTTAAAGTTTCCACTGGAGTACCCTTGTTTAAAAAAAAAGGTTTCTGAGCAGAGAGTGATACAGGGTCATCTTTACCAGTTCAGATTTAATCCATCCCAGATTGACATCTGTTGATGATTGAATGAGAGAATTATATAAGCACAAGTTTTAACTTTGGCCGTTGGTCTCTCATGCTCATCACTGTTCACAGAAGCCATGAGGAAAGGTTTGTGCAGCAAAACAGCTTATGTGTTGTTGAGTGCTGCTGTGCCGCGTCAGTGTGCTTTCAGCTCATCGTGTCTCTTTTTGTTTTTTGTTCTGTGTTGTCTCTCCGCCTCTTGTGTCCTCCCTTTCCCTCTCACTGCTCTCTTTTCTCCACCCCACCTTTTCCTCTCCCGCTCCTCTTTTGTTGTCCCTGGTTTTCCTTTCCTTGTCCCTCTCCGTCTTCTTCGCCCCTCCCCACCTCTCCCCCTCCTCGTTCTTTCCCTCTCTCAGACGGAGGTGTGTGCCTCCTCCGATGTCCTGTGCTCCAATCTCCCGGGGGTGCTGCGCACCGTGGAGGCCCTGACCAGACTGGGGGGGTGCGTCTCCCCCCACATCTCGCTGCTCTGTCCCGGCTTCCTGCTCTTCTACAGCCTGGCCATGGGGCTGCTGTATCTGTCCTACTGCCAGCTCACTGCCTGCTAATCATACCACAGAAACTGACCCTTGTGTCACACACTCACTAACACAGGACAGCACACGCTGAGACACGCTGACACAATGGAGAACAGATCCGCACACGCTGAGACACGCTGACACAATGGAGAACAGATCCGCACACACTGAGACACACTGACACAATGGATCACACATTCACACAGGCCCGCACACGCTGAGACACACTGACACAATGGATAACAAATTCAAACAGGACACCACATGCTGAGACACACTGACTCGATGGATAACGCATTCACACGGGCCCGCACACTCTCAGACACGCTGACTCAATGGATAACACATTCACACGGGCCCGCACACGCTGAGACATGCTGACACAATTGATAACACATTCACACAGGCCCACACGCTCAGACACATTGACACAATGGATAACGAATCTGCACACGCTGAGACACACTGACACACAGGCAGACATGCAGACACTCCACTAGCTCAGTGCCTTCTAATCTCAGCCATAAGCACACACGTGTACTGTATGTTACACACACTCCAGCACCCCCTCCCATGTTACTGCACTGCAGCATGCATGCAAGTGGGCATGCTGGGTAAAGGGAAAGGGGGGTACACAGAGATCATACCTTGCCAAAGCTGCTTATTCCAGAACGGGACACTGGGGCGTCAGAACACATCAGGACACGGACCCTCTTCTCCTCCAAACACTGAAACGAGAAGCCGGCCCCATATCTGGTAAAGCATGGAGCAGCAGCCCACTGCAGCACCACGGTGTCAAACCATTATCGGTACGCTGGGCCGGAGTTCACCAGGCCCTTCCCCTACTGGTGCAGTGGCACATTCCGAGTAGCGGTTCGGTAAGAGAGCGCTTGCTGTATAATTCGCGGTGAAGCCCCCTAGGGACAGTGCCTTTCTGGTGCGGTGCTCTGCCAGGGCGACACCCTTGCAGTACACAGCTCAACATCACGGATTAGAATAGTACTGCTTTCTGGGCTGCACTGTCCCGGCAAGATGTCAGCAAGGCATCGAGTGGCCAGCAGTATTTGCAGAGCTACCGCAGGGCACCGTACTTCAGCTCAGAGGCATCAAAATGCCTGGTATTTAGGCTCAGCAGTCAAAGGTTTTGCAATACAGAAGTTAAAAAGGCCTATTCAGTGTAGCAACACAGCGCATTATGTAGTGTTATATAGGTGGATGCAATACACTATGCCTTGTGTTATTTGTAACTGACATTGTTCTCTCCAAAACATTACGGCAACATTTTATTATAGTTATATTCTGCTGAAACCTGTTTTGAAAAAACAAATGCTCATATTGATCTCAATGTAACTAAAAACATTCCCGACTCGCCGGCTCACTGGGGCGGAGCACGGCGCTGCGCTCAGTCTGACCACAAGGTGGCGATACTTCTCTTTCATTCAGAAGGTACAGGAACATTAACAGATTTTATTTTTGTGTTATCATGGGTTTTTTGTACCCTCATCCATGTAGTCTGGTCTAGGTTACTGTTGTATTTGTGTATGATGTTAGGCCTGTTCATCTAAGTTATTTGTGTTTTTAATTTATTTAAAAATGTGATTGTACCTGGATGTTTTCTGTGAAAGAGTCCCAATCAGTGTTTTAGGCTTAATTTTTTTGTTTGTGGCTGTACCCGGATGTCACCCTGTTACCAAAGTCGCCTGGTCACAGGGGTGCAGTGTTGGAACAGGCCAAAACACGCAAATTTAGAAGTGTATGAGAGAACGAAAATTATGGTTTCTCGACGCGTCTTAAAAAGTACACAGTGCCCTCAATCATAAAACCATTTTTTTTTATTCGTAACAGTAACCAGTCCTGTTCTTTGGTAGTGTTCCGAGACAACATTTTGAACGATGGAGAAATCCGAGAAGACTCGAGCCTATATGAAGTGGCGTGCGGGTATGTCGCACTCCAATGACGTCACTCCGCGGCCGCCGCTTAAAGCTGCCAGCTGAGGCGTGGAGAGAGCTTGTTTTGGCTTAGTTCGGTTCGGACAGAGTGACGGGGTACAGCCCAAACTATTCATCTCTCGGTCTGTTACATCTCTCTCTGATGGGACCACGAGTGGTCGCGCTGCGAATCTGCCTGTGTAATGTTCTAAAAAACTGAATACCTTAAAAAGCATATTTTTTGATATTTATATTGATGCCTAAATATTTAAAGATAAGCTTTAAAAAAGCAAAGGAAATCTTGAGTTTATATATCTAGTTTCTTTTTTCTGTATAGAGATTATTAAAAAAGAAGCTGTCTTTCAACATGTGTTCGGTCTTTTCTGGTCTTTGATGTAATGAAAGAATCTCCGTGTGGTGGACCATGTGCTCAATGTCCACTCTTCCTGCCAAGCCATTTGTGTAAACTGACGAACCCCGGCCAAGTCGAAGGGTTCGGTTCAGGTGACCCCAGATAACCTCTAAGCAAAAGCTTCCCTGCAGACACAGTCGCTCACTAATTGTTAGGCAGTGTTAAAAAAATGTTTTTACAGAATTTAGGGAGTGTTAAGTGCCTGCTAGCACCCTTTGTATTTGCCATAATTCTTCTGAACAGTTTTTGGTAGGCAGTAACTCCTACGATGAATTTGCTTTTGTCCTTCGTTCATGAACACAGCAGCCCCTCATCCACTCCTGCCTCTTGACAAGAGGTCAGTCACGCTGCTCAGCAGTTCGAACCCCCTGATCGGAGGGGGATTCAGTGGCGGTGAGAACAGCCACAAACGAGGGGAGGCCGCTTGGCCCATCTGGACCGTTTATTAGTCAGTAGCTAAGTAATTGTCCCAGGATCTCATCATCCAGCTGTTTCCTGATAGAAACCAGAGTATCAGCTTCTCCAACATGGCTGGGCAGCTCATTCCACCCCCCCGCCTCCTTTTGTGTAAAGACGCGTTGCCAGTTTTAAGTGCACTTCCATGAATGAACTATTCTGCTGCGCCTAGGGTGGGGGTGTGGTCTTGCTTTAAGATCGTGCAGAACACGGAGATGTCTGAACTGTGTAGACTGGAGTGGTGGGCTGGTTTGTCCACGCAATGTTTTTTTTTCCTTGGTTTCTGGAGTCCCCTTTCCTGTAGCGCCATCATGTGGAGGAGGTGAGTCACTGACCATTTGCCCTGCTGGTTTGAACTTGCATGCTGGGGTGCTCTTGAAAATGGGAGTAGCCAGGCTGAAGAAGAAAAAACATAATTAGGTTGATTATAATCCATTAATCAAACTCAACTCCTTTTTAAAGGGACAGGGGTTCAGGGCCTGATCCTAATCCTGGTGATGGTTTCCATAATCTTTCCTGGTTGTTAACCAATGTTAATTATTTTTGCTGTGTTTGCTGTATACGTATGGGTGCACACACTTTTGTTCATTTGTTTGAAACCTTATTCTCTACCTTGAAACTGGAGCCTGAGGTTCCTGTAAGGAGAGAACAATTTGAAGTAACATGTTAGAAGCTCAGATTTCTGACTTGTCAGCTGGGTGAAACTTGTCAGGCTGGCTGCTCGGGGTGGAACTAACACAGGTTGAATGCTAGTGGAGTAGAAAAATCTTAGTTTCCAACGTCTCTTGAAAATCTGTGTGTCGCCTCTGGCTGTATTCTCACTCCCTACCTCTGCTGCTCTCTTCCTCGCCCCCTGATCCACTCCCACTTTTCTTCCTCCCTCCCTCTCTCCCTGTGTGCGGGCAGGGTGGGGCTGTGCTGGGTGGCTGGTGTGGAGGGTGCATATCTGGTGGGGCGTGGTGTCGTGTGCGACCTGCCCGGTGATTCCTGGTGACCTCCCTCCTCTGTCCCCCTGCCAGGACTCTCTCTGCCCCTCTCAGCTGATCCTGGAGGACGAGGGCCTGACCCGGATCGCCCACATGGTCCAGGGGCTGGTCGACCTGCCGCCTGCAGGACCCCGCCGCGCCTCCCGTCAAGAGGGCCCCTCCTGCGAGTGAACGCTGGGGCTGCCCTCCCCGCTGCCTGACTGGAAAGAGTCCTGCAGTCCAGAGGAAGGAGAGGACAAGACTACTTGTGTTTAAGATCACGTTTCCTTTTTTTGTTTCAAAGTTCCATGCTTCGCAAGATTAGGACATCTGTTTTGGAGCATTCTTCAACTGTAGTTTTGAGACAGACACAGATCATCTGGATTACACCTGTAGTTATACTTCTGACTGGCTCTGCGGTTTAGGAAATATGAACTGTAACACACTCGTACACACAGGAATATTGCCCAGGTTTAAAATAAAATGTGTTAATGTAATTATTTCAGTATATTTTAAGTGCCATTCTGTACTGTGGTTGATCCTCACAAATGTGAAAAGCACAAACTGCAGTCAGGAGACTTACAGATACAGGCTAGTCACAGCATGCAAAATTCCCAAAGGCCGTTTCCCCCTGGCCAATGGAGGCAAGTCTTCAGCTCAGCGGAGGAGTGAGTTGTTACTGGAAGATGGGCTGAAGTTTGCGTGTGTGTTAGTGCTTTTGTCAGTTCCCCAGTTTTTGTTTATCACTGTATTTCTATCACCTAGGGTGAGGTTACAACAGTGTATCGGTGTGTTCTGTGCAGCGTGTGCCTTTGTCAGAGGCCACTGAAAAGAAAATTAAGAGAGAAGAGTAGACCTGGAGTGTCATTAGAAATAACAGGTATGGAGGAGGACAGCAGAGAGCAGGGGAGGCTGGGAGATGGAGGAGGACAGCTGAGGTCATAGGAGGCTGGGTATTGGAGGAGGACAGGAGTGATGGAGGGAGCAGGGGGGGCTGGGAGATGGAGGAGGACAGGAGGGATGGAGGGAGCAGGGGAGGCTGCGAAATAGTGGACAGGAGGGATGGTACAGCAGAAAGTGAGGTAGACTGGTAGATGCTGAACGAGAGGAGGCAGTGAAGATCATGAGAGAAAGAGGGGAAGAGGTTGGATTACAGACAGCAGAGCTGATGCAGGTTCATGATTAAAGAAAGTGCAGACTCACAGATTAGGTGGTTTTTATTATTGCAACATGAATAAAGGCAGGAGTTGAGATTTGCAGTATTACAATATCTTGGACACATAGGTTAATCTAGACCTATTGCCAGAGTGGTTTGAGGAAGTTGCACAGCCACCAGTACTGTAACTAGAGAAAAGATGATCCACTTTTAATACTGAAGTCAGTGCCCTTATAGTTAAGAGGGAAAGATCTCTATTTAATGCTGTACTTGTCAATGCAACCATCCCCTGGACTACTGTATAGAGTTTATTCCATTTATTTTCTTTGCTAACATCAGCAATAACAGTGCCAGAGGGACCAAAAAAGAATTTCAGATCATGAATTCTGGTAACAAACATGTAACAAAGCAAAGAATCAAGAT